TTTACAATTCCTTTTTTGGTCCTGGAGTGAGCGCGAAAGAGGAGCGATATCTCAAAACAAAAGTCAGTGCAAAAAAAGGTATTTGGTGTATTTTCGTTCACTCCCTTCATTTGGTAAACCTTTCACCCCCCGTCTCGATTCGAAATAAGGAGGAGCTATCGTATTCCATGCTGTCAGATTTCAAATCTGAAGTTCAGACACCCTGGAGCCAATCTCAAACACACGGCCCCACTTCGTATTCCGTGCTACTATCAGATTTCAGACACCCAGTCCATAATGTCGGACTTCACCGTTCAGGCTGACGTCGCTCCTGATACAAATATGCGCGCTCTTAGTACTAGTGCTGACCATCGCCTCAGCACAGATAGCAGGCTGCCGGCAGCAGCTGTCAACGGAGACGGCTACACGTGGCTCAAGTATGGCAACAAACACGTCGGGAATAACGTCAGGTACTGAAGCTTTCTCGTACTATTCGAGGAAATCTCACGATTTACAGCTCCTGTTGATTTTCTTAAAAGTCGCTCCCTCAAGTCTGCCTCTCCCGCAACTGGCCCATCGAGAAAGAAAACACTCGAAGGGACGATTTCTCGAAAGGGGATTCTCAATAGAAGCTCTCCATTTGGACCAATATGTAGACTTCCCGTCATGTTTTGGGCCTGAGTCTTCTGTGATCCGTTCAAATTGGACGATGCTGGGTAGTAGATTCGCGACTAAGCCTGCGGCTTTATGGCACTGCTAAGTGCCTTTCGAATGTGATCCTGCTCTGTCTGTTGTATGAGGGAACTGGACATAAGTGCCATCTTAATCCGTAAAGGGACAATGTGACCCAGATCCCAGATTTGAAATCTCCTACTTTTTCCCTCTCTTTTCAAACATAGCATGAGCTTTCCTGGTCAGCATTCTTTTGTGGAAATGCGTTTGCGTGTGCGTAAAGTATTTCACCCTCAACACCACACTTATTCCTCCCTACTATAGCAGGTGCCAGGACAACAGGTGCATTTGTTTCAACATCTCCAAATTCTGAAGTACCTTTCCTTCCTACAGTACACTCCATACCCCTCACACATTTTTCTTTAGTATGTTTAACCCCCTCACACAGGTGCTACAAGTACAGGTGCTCGTGGCCTTAGACTGATGCTAAACGCCATTCTCACAATCCATTCCCATCTCACATGTGTCTCTTTTAATTCCTTCTCCCCACATGCAGGTGCTACTACAGATGCGCGTGGTCCAAGAGCCCAAGAGCCTGCCCTGCCAGAAAAACCATTGACTTCGCCACTGCATGCACTTCTGGTACTACCGCCACCATCAGTACTCACCTCCCAGCAGCTAAAGCCAACGTGTTAGGCAACAGCAGTGCAATATCACATGACACAGTAGTGGTACCTGCCGAGGACCGACCCACAGTACCTGCCAGCAGTGCCACCTTCTCCCACGAATACCCAAACTGCCGCCCAGCCTCAGAACGCCACTTGGTATTGGCCTGCGAAGGTCTCACAATCATATACCACAACAATCACAACCACCAGGCGCGCGGGCATCCCCCACGCCGCCACAAGCGGCAAACGGCTCGGCTTGAGAAGGCGGCAGCAGCGACAGCGGCGGCGGCGGCAGCTGAGTCAGCAGCCAGTAAGCTGGTCGAAGCCAGGACGCTTTCTCCAAGGCTCGAGAAGTTGCCAAGGCCCAGGAGAATTGGCTTTTGCTGGGTGCTACTGAAGAAGAAAATACTTCACATACGCCTTCACATGCCCCTTCATATGCCTCTTCACATGCCCTTTCACATGCCCCTTCACATGCTCCTTCACATGCCCCTTCACATGCCCTTTCACATGCCCCTTCACATGTCCCTTCACATGCGCCTTCACATGCCTCTCCGCACACCTCTGCAAGTTCTGCAGATGCCTATATGCACGCCCTTCTGCCCACCCCTCCAAAAACTCCTGCACATGGCGCACACACCCCTCCACTCGCCCCACCACACGCCCTTCCGCGTGCGTTCAGTCAGGATTCCTTCAGCTCGCTCTTTGGCAGGTTCAGCAACAACGGTGGGCAGCAATTGTTCCTGGCAGGGCCGCGTGTGGCCACACACGCAGCGGATTCGCAAACATTTTCTGGAAAACGTCTGAAGATCAGCCCGCTCGCTAGAATGTGCAGCAGCGAAGCTGTTCAGCAATTGCATGCAGCAGGGGCGTGTGTGGCTGCACGCGCTGTGGATTTTCAACCATTCTCTGAAAACGATCTGAAGATCAGTTCTCTCTCTGGCAGGTGCAGCAACGGAGGTGAACAGCAATCGCTCCTGGCAGGGCTGTGTGAGGCCACACATGCTGCAGTGATGACAGAAAAGGAGGCGAATGAACTTCGAGGGTGGGCAGATGAGCCGCAGCTGCTGGTTATGTCGCCTCCGACAGTCACTGTGTTGGACCTTGTGGGATGTTGTCAGGGCAGCAGCGAAAGCGCTGGCTCATTGCCACAGCATGAGCAGTGGCAGCAGCAGCAACGACAACAGCAACCGCAGCAGCAGCAACGACAACAGCAGCCGCAGCAGCAGCAACGACAACAGCAGCCGCAGCAGCAGCAACGACAACAGCAGCCGCAGCAGCAGCAACGACAACAGCAGCCGCAGCAGCAGCAACGACAACAGCAGCCGCAGCAGCAGCAACGACAACAGCAGCCGCAGCAGCAGCAACGACAACAGCAGCCGCAGCAGCAGCAACAACAACATCAGCCACAGCAGCAGCAACGACAACAGCAGCTGCAGCAGCAGCGGGTGCACCACCCTATATTTGATGTGCTCGGTGGAGGAAACAGCATGAGCGTTCAGGACTTTATAGAGTGCAGCAGTGCAGAAAGTATATCATACTCGTGGAGCTATTAGGAAGCAATGCATCGGATCTGTAACCGAAACATGGAAAATACCATAATCTGGTGTTTTACACCGAGCAATTCATTTACAAATGCCAAATTTATCTGTAGGGAGGGGGAAGAGGGGAGAGATTAAGAGGGAGAGAGAGAGAGCCCCTTAGTCCCTTAGCCTGTCGGCCTCTCCTGCCCCTAGTATAAAAGGCCAAGTGCTTCGTGTTAGAGTTCATTATTCAGCTGCGGTTTCAGTTCTTCTTACCCAGCGGTTGAGGGAGAGAAGAAAGAGAGAGAGAGAGAGAGAGAGAGAGAGAGAGAGAGAGAGAGAGAGAGAGAGAGAGAGAGAGAGAGAGAGAGAGAGAGAGAGAGACAGGCGACTCTGCCGGTGGCGCTGGGAGGTTTAGGGCTCATTGACCCATTGTCGGAGGCACCGGCGGCATACCTGGCCTCGCTAAATGCAGCCCAGACCCTCCTGCAGCAGGTTACGGCCGCACCAGATCACCCGCTGCGGTGTGTAGGGGAGCTGGTCTCACCGCAAGGGGAAGGGGCAGCAGTGGGCAGCAGAACTACGCTACAGGACATGCGGAACAGGTTCCCAGAGGCGGCACAGGAGCTGCTTAAGGGTTTCAGCCAGGAAAAGGGGGGGAAGGGGCAACTTCAGGAGCTCCTCTCCAAGCATATCAATCAGGACAGGGCAGCGGAACTACTGGGGAATACTCGGGTGGATAAACCGGGGGAGGATAATGGCCATGTGATCCGCTTGATCAGCCTGCAGGGAGTAGGGGCAGGGGATTGGCTACACGACATCCCTACGAGAGGGGACCTGACGTTTTCGCCGGGCCAATATGCAATAGCCCTGGGTTTTCGCTTGGGGCTGACCCTGCCAGTGACAGACACGTGCCCGTGCCACGGTGAACGATCACAGATACATGACCGGAGCCTCCCCAACCACCTGCTGAGGTGCGCGGAAGGAAAAGACAGGACAAACACGCACAATTCCCTGGTGTATGCGGCACTGCGAATGGCGCGCGAAGCGGATTACATGACTTTGCATGAGACCACTGTCTACTCGCAACCCGTCAACCCTAAGCGAGCGGACCTGGCTATCAAAGACCGTGAGTCTGCTGAAACGTTCGTCACAGACGTCACGGTCACGGATCCGGTGCTGCAGCGGCGTGATTTAGGGGCCACCAGGGGACCGGGCTGGGCGGCAGAGGAGGCAGCAAGGACGAAAAGGGGGCTGTACGAAGGGCGCCCGGACTTCGTAGGGGTATTCGGGCTGGCGGTGGAAACTTATGGTGCCTTAGCGCAGGACACCCAGAGGTTCCTTCGTCTCCTTGGCACGCAGGCGGCAAAGAAAAAGCACAGGCAGGGGAGGCTCACCTCGGTAGCCTCCAAGCTGACTGCGCATTACCGACAACGCTGGTCGGTGATGCTGCAGCGCAGCCAGGCGAACGCCCTGCTGTCAAAGTCCAACAGGGCGACGGAGAGGGCCTTCCCCCAGGCCCCAGCAGACCCGTGGGAACCCAGCCTCGGGGACCTCTGGCAGGTCCTTGAGGATGGGCTGGACTGGGGGCCGGCCCTGGATGGGTGAGGGGAGAAGGAGGGGCTGGAGCGAGAGGATGCTCCAGGCCGCGGTACGGGGTAGGCCCCTCGGTTGCGCTGGCCAGCCATTGGGCAGACCTTACAGGAGGGTGTTGGCTTGGCCTGGTCACAGTTGGGGTCGCATGGTTGCAGGCTAGCCGGCCAAATACCTAGACTGTTTGCTTAATACCAAGATAATATCTCTTGCATGCCTAGGGTTTGCTTGCTATAATCTTGCACATGCCTTGCATGTACCCCGTATACACATTAATGAAGGACCGCTTGAGAGAGAGAGAGAGAGAGAGAGAGAGAGAGAGAGAGAGAGAGAGAGAGAGAGAGAGAGAGAGAGAGAGAGAGAGAGAGAGAGACTCTGAGGGTCACGGGCGACGAGCATCCGACTCTGCACGGCAAGGTGATACTGCTCAAGGACCGTCGCAAGGCGCGTCACGAAACACCCGATCTGAGACAGGCGTTCCCCGCGCTCAAGATACTCGGCTTCGCCGGGGTGTTCATTCCACCCGCACCCCCACCCAGGCTCGCGGGGATAATTCGACCAGCCCATGTTCCACCACTCCAACTGCGGATCTCGGGCAGTCCCGGGTGTCTCAAAATCGTCCCAGCTGCGGTGGCGCTCGTTTGGCTGAGACAACACCTGGATAAGAGTCACGAGGAGTCAGACACGGGAAAGTGGATCATCACCACAGACAGAGAGAGAGAGAGAGAGCACACACAAGGAAAGTCAACAGCGGGGAAAGCTGGGCCAACACGAGGGAAGGCGTCAAGCATGGGGGCACTTCTGCCGGTGACGAAGGAATCAGACTCACCACACCCCAGCGAGCAGTGGCAGGGCGGGGACGGGGAACAAAGGATGCTGACGCTGAGGTTGCTGGACAGGAGGAGCGGTCGGGAGCGGAGGCTGCACCGGCAAAACCGACGGCGGTAGAGGAGGAGATGCGGGAGGAAGGACAGGCGTCGGCTGTATCTGAAGGGAGGCGAGCGTAGGCGGAACCAACGCTGGCGGCGGCTGAGCAGGCGGGGGAGGAGCTGACGGGGGAGTAGGCGCTGCCGGCGCTGGCGGCGGCGCAGGAACGTGCCGAGGGGGAGGAAATGGACTCGGCCTCCAAGGCTGATGGCGGGGACGCCGGGGATGACGGAAGGGCTGACCCTGCGGGTGGAGATAGTACGGCGTTCGACCAAGTGGTGGGTGATACACAGGGCCTCGGGAGTCCGGGGAGGAACGCCGATCACGTCCCGATCCGCCGCTCGATTCGGCTTCAACCAAGTCCGCGGCGGCTCAGAGCAGGGCTGGCACCTGGCCTCCCTGGACCCCTTCAGCGGTGGGAGTGCCAGACTTACCCACCACGACCTCACGGCGAGGGGCCTTTGCGGCCTTGCCCGTCATCGGCAGGAGCGGAGGAGGAGGAAGCGGGCGAGTTGCCAGAAGAGGATGAAGGTTTGCGACCGCCAAGTGCGGTGGGAAGGACGCGAGGAAGGACACGAGGCCGAGCACAGGGGTGCGCAGGGGTGCGGGGATGGGGGCAACGGGGAGTGGCGGCCAACGCGCGAGAACGAGTCAGATCCGGTCCATGGCGGGAAAGGCACGGGAGGCCAGAGGTGGTGCCAGAGGAGGGGATCGCTGATAGGCCAGCTGCTGCTGACATCGAGGAGGAGGAGGAGGCTCATATGGCATCGGAGGAAGGAGAATCGGAAGAGGTCTCACTGGATGATGAGCCTGGGGTGGGTAACCACCAGGGGAACGCCCGATCTGGGAGATCAGGAAGGGGAGGAAATGGGAGGGCAGGAGAGGAGCAACAGCACAGGGAGGCGCCAAACGAGGCCCCAATAGGCCAACCTGCTGGCGCGGAAGTGAGAGACATGCGCTCTCCCGAAGTGATAGCTAGGGACGAGAACATCAGGCGACAGGTGGCAGAATGGGAGGTTGACTGCCAGCGAAGCAGTGAACAACCCTTCCTGGCAAGGAGAATGTCACCTGGAGTGGTGGATTCATTTGCAGCGTGCCTCGTCATCCCGCTCCAGCGACTGAGAAAAAATCCTACGTGCCCGGGAGCTTGGAGGGCACTCCTCTTTTTGCCACGGTTGACACTCCGCGCCGACATTGATCCCAACTGCGCAAATCACTGGTAGGAGATCAAGGGCAGACTGCAACAGTTCCGACTGGAAAAATGGGAGCTACTGTTGATGCAGGCCAAAACCGTACCAGAAGACCCCAAACCGGCCAGACACCAGCCAGACCCCGAGGGACTACGAGCGAGAGCCGAAGGTCTGGTACAGAAAGCAAATCTCGCCAAAGCTGTTGCAGCACTGTAGTCCTCCCCCCTCGCGGAAGTATCGGCGACTACACTCGAGGCACTCCGCGCAAAACACCCGGAGGCGTCAATTGCCATACCGGGCTGGGTAACCGGGTTCAAGGCATCAACGCCGACAAGCTACGCGAAGTACTGGCGAAATGCCCGAATGGGATCGGCGCTGGCCCTTCCGGAACCTGTTTTGAGCATCTTCGCGAACCTGCGCTAGCAAATGGGGAAGTGCTCACACTCCTGCTAGAAGCCGTCAACAATCTGCTTGGCAACGAGCAACCAGAGAATATTCGTGAACTCTTACTGCCATCCCGACTGATCGCCCTGGAGAAACCTGATGGAGGCGTGCGGCCGATAGCTATAGGAGAAGCACTGCTTTGACTAACAGCCAAGATCGCACTACGGGATCTCGCGCCGTAGATTCGAAAATACTTCTTACCAGTGCAGTTCAGAGTGTCTGTCTCAGGAGGAGCGAAGTGTATTATCCACTCCATGCGAGCACTTCTTAAGGATGACCCCGACCGAGTCGCGCTGCAGTTGGATATCGAGAACGCCTTCAACTCGGTAGAACGCCAGAGCTTCTTCACATCGCTCAGATGGTTGGGACTTCACCCTATGGTCCCCTTCATGCGCACGCTGTACGAAAGCCCCTCCCGACTACTTCTAGATGAGGGGTTTTCCTCAAACCACATTGAGAGCACGAGGGGAGTACGACAGGGGGACCGGTTGGGACCGACACTTTTTGCGGCGGCTATACAACCGGCGCTACTTAAAGCCGCAGATGAATTCCCATCGGTGCTGATGATGGCATACGCAGACGATATCACTCTGGTGAGAGACCCTGAGTCGGCGGGACGAGCGATGCTGCTGATCACCAACAAACTACACACCTCTGGGCTACGATGCAACCTGGCGAAATCCTCGGCATGGAGCTCGGCGGGCGCGCTTAACAACCTACCAGCGAGACTCGTGGCGGCACTGGACGACATCAAAGGCCTAGGGAGCCCGATTGGATCGGCGACCTTTGGGAGGAACTTTGTACGGACAGCACTGGAGAAGATTGCCGCGCCCCTGGACCTCATCAGTGGACTTCATCCCCAGCACGCCATGCTCCTGCTTTCCCGCTGCATCTCGAAGAGAGCGTCGTACCTGCTCCACAAGACACAAGCGGACCTCATCTCGCAGGCGGAATGGCGCAATTGGAGCGAGCGACTACTCCGGACAATCCTTAGAGCGACACATCTCCACCTGCCGGCGGACGAGATGGAGCAGAGCCTCCTATGGCGCCACGCGACACTACCGGTGGCCCTGGGGGGCCTGGGCCTGATAGACCTGCTCTCCGAAGCACAAGTAGCGTACCTCTCATCTCTGACGGCGGCCCACACACTCCTACAGCAGCTCCCCTTGGCGCCAAGCAACCCCATGATTAGCACGGCACGGCTGGTGTCACCAGAGCCAGGGGAACAGAGGACCAACGGGGAAGACATCCGAAGGGACATGTGGGCTCGCCTGCCAGCATCAGCCCGAGCGGCATTACAAGCGTACTTGGAGCGAGATGATGGGAAGGGACACCTGCAGCTGATACTGTCACGACACATCAATACGGAGCGGGCGGCAGAACTGCTAGGCAACACACGGGCGGACAAACCGGGCGCGGAGAGTGGCCATCTCCTACGCCTACTGAGCCTCCAAGGAGCGGGCGCGGGAGACTGGCTGCATGCCATCCCAATGCGGGCGGACCTTACATTCTCCCCGGGGCAGTTCGCGCTAGCAATTGGCCTCCGCCTCGGACTCACACTGGCAGTGACGGACAACTGCCCTTGCCGGGGGAGGAGGGCGAAGATAGGAGACAGAAGCCTCCCGAACCACTTGTCGAGGTGCGCGGAAGGGGGAGACCGCACAACAGCGCATAACGCACTGGTGTACTCAGCCCTCCGCGTGGCAAGGGAAGCGGATTTCCTTACCTTGCACGAATCGGCCATTTTCAGCCCCATAACCAACCAAAAACGGGCGGACTTGATCATTCGTGACAAGGAGTCAGGAGAAACGTCGGTGGTGGATGTAACCGTAACGGATCCAGTGCTACAACGTCGAGACAAGCGAGCAATGAAGCCGCCGGGATGGGCCGCGGAGGAGGCGGCAAGGACAAAGCATGGCATGTACACGGGAAGGCCGGGGTGGGTGGGATGCTTCGGCATGGCGGTGGAGACGTACGAGGCAATGGCAAAAGACACACAGCGGTTCTTCAGGCTCCTGGGCACGTCAGGAGCCAAGAAGAATAGACAGGGGAGGTCAACCACGGTTGCCTCTAGGCTTACTGCCCACTACCGACAGTGTTGGTCGGTGCTCCTCCAGCGTTGCCAATCCAACGCCCTGCGTTGCCGAGTCGAACAGGGCAGCGGAGGCAGCATTCCCACAGGGCCCCTCTGACCCGTGGGAGCCACAGCTGGGGGACCTGTGGCAGGTCCTGGAAGATGGGTATGTCCAGGACTGGAGCTGGGAGGAGTAAAGGCAGGGGAGGCTGACAGGGCGGCAAGGATAGCCCGCAGCTAGGCGGACGGCCCTACAAGGGGGTATAAGGGGCTTGTTCACATACTAGCTGGCTTAATACATAGACTGCATGCTTAAATGCCAAACCAGACTATCTTGCTTGCCTAGGGTTTGCTTGCTAGAATCTTGCACAAGCCTTGCCTGTACCCCTTAAGCAAATCAATGAAGGACCGCTTGAGATAGAGATAGATAGATAGAGAGAGAGAGAGAGAGAGAGAGAGAGAGAGAGAGAGAGAGAGAGAGAGAGAGAGAGAGAGAGAGATGACCTAGGACTAGTCCTTAGTCGTTTCTTAGCCTCTCTAGCCTAATCCTTAGTCCTTAGCCGTTTTTGACAGAGTTTCACTAGTATAAAGGCCCTAGATCCATGCCTAGTGAGCTCATTCTTCACTGGTGAGTTCGTTTCACTCTCCAAAACCGGCGGCTCGCGCCGGCCGCCTTCGGCGGCCGCCGCTCGCCGGCGCAGCTTTCGGCCGCGCGTGAGGGGTGACAAGGGAAAAAACTGCTGGCAAATCAACATGGGGCAGTACAACATGCAGGCATAGAACAACAGCAGCTATAACAACACCCCCGGGCGTGAGAACACCGCCATGGGGAAGCCCAAACCCAGACCTGATACTAAGGGGGCTGGCAAGGGGAAGGCTACCGCTACTCAACAAGGATCCAACACAGCCTCCCATCCAGCCAGGGTAGGACGGACGCGGCTGCTGCTACAAGGTCGAGCGGGTCCTCCCGGGCAGAATCAGCAAGCCGCGCCAAAGCTCCAGGGCCAGGCCCGAGGGCAGCCCCAGGGGAGCCTGGCACAAAGCCAATCAGGGGGAGGTAATGCTGCAACTCCTCTGCTACCGCCACCACCGCTGCCTGCTCCGCCGGCTGCATCGCCTCGATCTGCACCTCCTGCTGCACCAGGGTCACGTGAAGCTGGTCGAGCACGTACGACAGGAGCGTCATGCACGTCCCAACGTGCATCACGCGCTGCTCGACACGAGTTGGGGGCTCACCAGGAACCACGGCAGGGGGAGGAGGCTGTGCGGGAGGCGTCACTGGCTCCCATGGACGCGGCACAGGGGGGCCGCCATACAATTTCCGATGGAAAGATGGCGGGGCTGGTATTGACTGAGGGCTTGGAGCGTGCAGGAGAGGTGACGGAGGAAGGTGGGGCATCGAGGGACGAGGCTGCTGCGGCTGGAGGGGCAGGGGAAAATGACGTAGCGGGGACTGAGCTGGTGGCTGCTATGATACCCAGGATGGCGGCTGCAACGGTGCCTGAGGTAGCTGCTGCTGCTGCGTCTGCAGCAGAGACGGTGGCAGGCCCGGTGCCTGCTAGCGGTTCTGCCGCTGCCTTTGGCGGCGGCTCAACTTCACCCTCTGCCACCCCACGGGTTGCACAGTCGAAGGTTGAGGAGCCAAGTCCGGGCGCGGATCGGGAGCAGACCGCGGAGGCGGCGTTGTCCGCGTCGCCGTCACCTGTAACGGTGGCTGTGCTGGCGGCGGCGGTGTCTGCTGCGACTAGGGAGCAGGGCGGAGCCCCGATGGCAGAAGACCGTCCAGAGGTTTCGGAGGCTGCAGCCAATGGGGACAAAGCTGGCTCTTCTGAGGAGAACGGGGATCCAGGTTTTATGTGTGGAGAGGAACCAGGCCCAGAGTCGGAAGAGGTTTCACTGGAAAACGAGGAGGAAGTGGGAAGAGGGCGGAATTGAGCGAGAGGCACAGGGGAGGGAGTGGACGGGGTAACATCCCATGCCGTGGGAGTGACGGTTCCAGCCGCAGCGGTCGCCAACGAGGTGAAATCGCCAGCCACCCTGGCAGAGGATGACGTCATCTGGCAGATAGCCGGCACGTGGACCTTGGATCTTCTCCAATGAATGGACCAACCGTTCCTAGTCAGACGGCCACCACCCCAGGTGTTAGACAAATACTGCCTATGCCTCCTCGCACCACTCCTACGGCTGTCAACAAGCCCAGAATGCCTAGGTGCATGGGCGATCCTGCTATACCTCCCGAGGCTGACGTTGCGTCTGCCACCAGAGCCAGTCACTGGCAGCCAATGGGCATCAATTGAGGCTCGGCTGCATCAGTTCCAGCTGGGAGATTGGGATGGGTTGTTTGAAGCTGCTTGCACCATCCCCGACACAGGCGCTCCGCTTAGACACCAAAATGATGACGAGGGGGTTTGCGCGAGGGCAGATGGTTTGGTTAAAAAAGGTAACATTTCGAAAGCAGTTGCAGCGTTACGCACGAGCCCCCTCGCCGAACCGAATCTGGCGACGCTGACTGCCTTGCGAGCGAAACACCCGTCTGCTAGCACTCCAATGCCAGCCTGGGTTACCGGGATAACTGACTTTGAGCTCAGTATCCCACTAGAAGCTCTTCGCGAAATTCTCTCGAAATGCCCGAATGGGGTAGGAGTGGGGCCCTCAGGCTGCTGTTTCGAACACCCGAGAGACCCGACCCTGGCGAATGAGGAGATCCTCCTGCTCCTGGCAAACGTGGTTACTCGCCTCGCCAGTTCCTTCCAGAGCCAAACAGTCCGCGACCTTCTACTCCCTTCCCAGCTCATAGCATTAGAGAAGCCCGGGGGAGGAGTTAGACCGATCGCAATAGGCGAGGCATTACTATGCGTAGTAGCAAAAACGACGCTACACAGCTTAGGCCCGAAAATCCGAGAGTTCTTCCTCCCCGTTCAGTTCGGCGTAGCGGTCCCTGGAGGCGCGGAGTGTATTATCCACACGGTTCGCTCTCTCCTCAGAGATGACGAGACCCGCATAGCTCTACAGCTAGATATGGAGAACGCTTTCAACAGCATAGAACGCGAGTCATTCCTCTCCGCCCTCCAGTGGTCTACTCTCAACCCACTGCTCCCGCTCGTCAGGAACCTCTACGATGGCCCCTCGCGACTTTTAGTGGACCCCCGTCTGGAAGTGGAACACATCCAAAGCTCCAGGGGTGTTCGACAAGGGGACCCGCTGGGACCTCTTCTTTTCGCAGCAGCGATCCAGCCTATTCTGCTCGGCGTAGCTACAAGTGTCCTGGAGGTGGCCATAGTGGCATATGCTGACGATATCACCATCGTGGGGCCCCGCGAAGCAGCGTGCGTGGCCTTCAACACGGTCGTAACGGAACTTGCTTCATGTGGGTTACGGTGCAACATTGCTAAGTCGGCGGCATGGTGCGCAGTGCGGGAGGAAAGGGGAGACGACCTGCCACACGGTCTTCCTGTCCACCCAGGCGGCTTAAAAGTGTTGGGCAGCCCGATTGGTAGCGACGCTTTCACCACCGACCAGGTCCGGGCGGCCCTCACGGAGGCAGCCGCGCCGCTACACCTCATCTCCCAACTCAACCCGCAGCACGCCCTACTCACGCCCTACGCATCTCCCGCCACATCTCATACCTACTTCGCACAACACCGGCAGAGGCACTGGCCCGTACAGAATGGAGGGAGTGGAGCGAGGCATTGGTGGGAGCAGGGCTCACGGCATCGAAACTACAGATCCCGCTGAGCGAGCTAGAGCAAAGCCTGTTGTGGCGCCAGGCAACGCTCCCGGTTCGGCTGGGGGGCCTGGGAATCATTGATCCCATTTCCGAAGCCCAAGCCGCGTACCTGGCCTCAACTGCAGCGGCGCACCTTCTACTACAGCAGCTGAACCTGCCGACAGACTACCTACTCCACAGGGCCGGGGAACTACTTTCCCCGACATGGAACCCACCTTCCCCCCGGGTGAACCCGCTGTCCCCGCTCGAGGCAAGGCTCCCAGCACAGGCCGCAGCGGTTCTACACAGCTACAGAGAGAACCCCAGGGGTATGGGCAACCTGCAGTTGGGGCTCTCCAAGGCCATCAATCACACGCGGGCGGAGGAGCTGCTGGCAGATACGGTAACTGATAGGCCGGGGGTGGACCGTGGCCATGCCATTTGGCTCATCAGCCTGAAAGGAGTGGGAGCAGGCGTCTGGCTCCATGCAGTGCCCACGAGGGTTGACCTCTCAATATCCCCTGGTCAGTTCTCCTTGGCACTAGGCTTGCACCTTGGCATGGAACTACCGGTAGCGGAGGTCTACCCCTGCAAGAGATCCAACTCCAAGATAGCCGACAAGAGTCTGCCGAACCACCTGCTACGGTGTGCCGATGGTGGGGATGCTGTGCGCACCCACAATGCGCTGGCCTTCGCTGCTCTTCGCATGGCGTAGGAAGCCGGGTACAAAACCTTTCACGAGACCATCGCGTTCTCTCCCCCTGTCCAGAACAAGCGTGCTGACCTAGCCCTCAGGGACCAAGAGTCGGGAGAGACTTGGGCGACGGACGTGACTGTGACAGACCCGGTCCTACAGAGGAGGGATGTGAGGGCACGGAAGCCGCCGGGGTGGGCAGCTGAGGAGGCGTCGCAGGCCAAGCACATGCTCTACGAGGGGCGGCTTGGCTATGTGGGTTTCTTTGGCCTGGTGGTTGAGACCTACGGGGCGTTGGCGACTGACACTCAACAGTTCCTCCGTATGTTGGCTACCTATGCGGCGAAGAAGAAGTACCGCCAGGGGCGCCTCACCACCACCGCTGCCCGCCTCAATGCACACTACAGGCAGCGGTGGTCGGTGATGCTCCAACGCAGCCAGGCGACGTCCCTCCTCTCCAAGTCAAACCGGGCAGCGGAAGCAGCATTCCCTCAGGCTGCAACGGACCCTTGGGCCCCCCGGCTGGGGGACCTCTGGCAGATGCAGGTGGACGAGTATGAGGAGCGCCAGGCTCCAGCTAGAGCGGCTTAGGAGGCCGGGGAGGAAGGAAATGGGTGACGGGGAGATGCTTGGGTGGCGGCAAGGGAGGGGTATAGGAGCATGATGAGGAGCAGGGAGGGGATTCCTAGGCGTGGGATGGTTCCTGCCAAGGCCGCTACCAAGGGGGCCGGCAAGGGGAAAACACCCGCTACTCGGCGAGTATCCAGCACAGCCTCCCGTCCATCCAGCGCAGGACGGATGCGGCTGCTGATACAAGGTCGAGGGGGGCCTGCTGGGCGGACTCAGCAATCCGCACCATCGCCCCAAGGCCGGGCCCGAGTGCAGCACCAGGGGCGCCCGGGACAAGGCTGATTAGGGGAAGGCAATGCAGCATCTCCGTTGCCGCGGACACCGCTGCCGACTGCTCCGACGGTAGCATCCCCCCAACCTCGACACCCTGGCGCGCCAAGCACACGTGGAGCTGGTCTAGCACGTACGACAGCAACGTCAGGCACGTCCCCACGTGCATTACGCGCTGCTCGACGTGGAGAAGTGTCACAGCTACACGAGCAGGAGCACGAGGAGCCGACGGGACGGGAGGGAATAGCAGCACCTGGGGAGTTGGCGGCTGATGCAGCTGAGGCTGGGGAAGCGGTAACTAGTTCAGGGGCGGCTGCTGAGGCGGCTGAGCCCGAGGAGGCGCCGCTGGTGGGGACTGACATGGCTGCTGCGGTGGAGGGGGCGGAGACTGAGGAGGGGCCGGTGTCTGCTGACGTGACTGCCGCTGCCTCTGGCGGCAGCTCAATCTCACCCTCTTCCACCCCCCGAGTAGCACTTCAGCAGGTGGAGAGCCAGAGGCTGGCTGGCGCTCAGGAACAGACGGCGGAGGCGGCGCTGTCCGCGTCACCGGCGCCTGTGGTGGCTGCTGTGTTGGCGGCGGTGATGTCTGCTGCAGCGGGGGAACGGAACGGAGCCCCGACCGAGGAGGACGGGATGGCTGCCGCTGTGTGCGCCGGAACGCCTGCTGCTGCCGTGGGCGCAGATACGTAGGGGCACGCCCAGGCGGCGAACGATAGATGGGGTCGCGGGAACGGCGAGACTGTCCGCGCCGCTCGCGGGAAGGGGGGGAAGAAGATCCGAGCCCAGCCAGTGCTGAGACGGCCCGGAGCAGGGCTGGGACCTGGCGCCCCAGGACCCCTCCTGGGCTGGCTTCTGCAAGGGCAATCGCCACAAGCGCCAGAGCGTCCACCGCCATCATAGGGAGAGGGGCCACCATTGATGCCCACGGAGTAGGCGGATCCGCAGACAGTGGCGGCGAGGCCGTAGAGGAACCAAGCTGCCGAGGCAGCACTGGAGACAGCGGCCCCGACGGTAGCAAGAGGCACAGGTGCAGGAACGGGAGCGACTGTACAGGGGGCGAGGCGCTTTGCGAGACTCGGTACGATAACGTGGGGACCGCCACGTGGCGGATGTACACCCCGGATGCCAGCAGGACGCGGGGGGATCGGGGCCCCAGGCAACAACGGTGGCACTGCAGCGGCAAACACGGTTGGAACGGCGCGGGCGCAGGCGGGGGGAACACGCGGAGGTTTTCGAGGTTGACGGGGGGGAGGGCGCAACCCGCTTGGCAGAACGGAGATCCCAGCGAGATCCGGCCCTTGGCGGGAATGCCACGACCGACTAGAATTTGTGGCTACGGTTGCACCAGCGAATGAGGAGCGGGCAGTGTCTGATAATGCTGTCTCAGACCCTGAGTTTACGGGTGAGGAGGAAGTTGAGTCTGAAGAAATCTCTTTGGACAAGGAGCCAGTTTTGGGAAGAAACAACCGAGCCAGAACAGGGGGAGAGGGAGCAGCTCCAACCGCACAGAATGGGGGAGAGCCAATCGAGGCTTCCACAGAGGATACGGATGTCCCGTCACCATCCGACCTGGCAGAAGTGGACGAAATTTGGCAGGTGGCAGGGGAGTGGAACGCGGACATCCTCCAGAGGGGAGAGCAGCCGTTCCTCGTGCGACAATTACCATCGCAGATCCTAGACCGATACTGCCTGTGTCTCATGGCCACAATTTTTTGCCTGTGGAAATACCCTGCCTGCCCAGGTGGCTAGAAGATTCTTCACTTCCTGCCTAGACTTACCCTCAGACCAGCACCAGAGCCAGTCACAGGAAGCTGCTGGGCATGCATCGAGGCCCGCCTCCACAAGTTCCAGCGTGGCGATTGGGCTGACCTTTTCGAAGAGGCAGGGGTCATCCCCGCCATAGAAGGCCCGGTACGACACCAGGCTGACGAGGAAGGGATTTGAGCTCGTGCAGAAGGTTTAGTGAAAAAGGTAACATTTCAAAGGCAGTGTCGGCCCTGCGAACAAGCCCACTCGCGGAAGCCACCTCGGCGACTCTGGAAACCCTGCGTTCGAAACACCCTGCAGATATGATACAAACCCCGGCCTGGGTAACCGGCATCACCCAGAGCAAACTCAATGTCCCACTGGACATGCTTGCGAAGTGCCCAAATAGGGTCGGGGCAGGCCCTTCGGGCACATGTTTCGAGCATCTTCGAGACCCGGCATTGGCCAACGAAGAGCTGCTCATACTTTTCGCTGAAGTGGTGAACCAGATGCTAAGTACCTACCAGCCCCAGCATGTGAGAGACCTGCTTCTTCCGTCCCGTCTCATCGCTCTAGAGAAGCCTCACGGTGGAGTAAGGCCAACCGCCATTGGGGAAGCTATTCTAAGTGTAATTGCAAAAGCAGCGCTGCAGACCCTCGGCCCCAAGATTAGGGCCTTCTTTCTCCAGGTCCAGCAAGGCGTCGCGGTCCCGAGAGGAGCAGAGTGCATTATCCATGCTGTCCGCGCGCTAATTCGAGAGGATAAATCAAGGATAGTACTCCAGCTGGACGTTGAGAATGCTTTTAACAGTGTTGAACGGCCTGCATTCCTAGGGGCGCTGTAATGGTCTAGCCTTAGCCCGCTTCTCCCTCTAGTTCGCAACCTCTATGATGGGCCGTCCCGCCTGCTTGTTGATCCACGACTCAGCACCGACCACATCCTGAGCTCCAGAGGCGTGCGACAAGGCAATCCTCTCGGACCGCTTCTATTTGCAGCGGCTATTCAGCCTACACTCCTCAACGTCACCACGTCCGTGCTGGTAGTTGCAATCACAGCATATGCTGACGGAATCACCGTGGTTGGCCCACTGGAAGCAGCCTGTCTGGCTTTCCGTACGATCACGAGCAAGCTGGCGGAGCTGAGGCTCCGCTGCAACATCGCTAAATTATCTGCATGGGCCCAATCTTATGGTGAAGCTAGTGCCGAGCTACAAGATGGTTTGGTAGCCAACCCTGGAGGTATAAAGGTGCTGGGCAGCCCTATCGGGCACAATGACTACTGCACAGGCCAAGTCAGAGCTACGCTGGAGGACGCGGTTACCCCGCTCCGCTCATCGCCCAACTGAACCCGCAGCACGCGCTACTGATCCTGTCACGCAACATTTCTCGTCGGATTTCATACCTACTACGGACGACACCGACATCCGCTCTAAGTAGGGTGGAGTGGAGGGAGTGGAGTGAAGGGTTGGTGGGATCAACACTCACGGCGGCGAAGCTCCGCATCCCAACGTTGGAGCTGGAGCAGAGCCTCCTATGGCGGCAAGCGACGTTACCGATCAGGCTAGGTGGCCTGGGAATCATTGACCCATGCTCGGAGGTCCCTGCCGCCTACATAGCCTTGGTCACAGCCGCCCATTCCCTACTGCTGCAGCTGAATCTACCTACGGACTGCCTGCTCCACCGCGCAACAACTCTGCTCTCCCACGAGTGGTCCCCACCGCCATCGGATAGCAACCCCCTTACCTCCTTGGAGGCAAGCCTCCCAGCCCTGGCACAGTCAGCACTAGGTTAGTACAGAATAGAGAACACGGGCACGGCCAGTCTGCAGCTGTGCCTCTCTAAGCTCATCAATCAACAGAGGGCGGTAGACCTCTTAAGTGACACTGTAGTTGACCGACCGGGCACCAACAGGGGCCACGCGATACGACTCATCAGTTTGAAAGGGGCGGGAGCAGGAGATTGGCTCCGTGCTTTGCCGACGAGAGCCAACCTTAGCATCTCCCCTGGTCAGTTCTCGTTGGCCCTAGGCCTTTGCCTAGGCATGGAGCTCCCGGTCACTGAGGTCTGCCCATGCAAGCGAAGCAACTCTGCAATCCTGGACAAGAGCCTGCCTAACCACCTGCTGCGCTTCCAGGACGGGGGGAATGCGGTCAGAACCCACAACGCGCTCGTCTATGTGGTGCTGCGGATGGCGAACGAGGCGGGCTTCAAGGTGTTCCACGAGACCTGCGATTTCTCACCCCCAGTTCTTCGGAAACGGGCAGACTTGGCCATCCGGGACCAGGAATCGGGCGAAACATGGGTGACTGGCGTCACTGTTACTGATCCAGTGCTGCAAAACAAAGACACTAAGGCACGTAGGCCGTTGGGGTGGGCAGCAGAGGAAGCTTCCTAGAGGAAACAGCGGGAGAATGAGGGGCGGCCCAGCTGCGCCGACTTCTTTGGGCTTGCAGTTGAGACCTACGGCGCGATGGCAGCTGATACGCTTCAATTCCTCACCATGTTGGCCACCAATGCCGTCAAGACAAAGTTCAGGCGGGGCCGGATTACCACCACAGCAGCCCGGCTCAATGCTCACTACCGCCAGAGATGGTCGGTGATGCTGCAGCGAAGCCTGGCCATATTACTTCTGTCCAAGTCCAACCGCGTGGCAGAAGCGGCCTTCCCTCAGGCAGCGGCTGACCCATGGGCCCCACGGCTTGGGGACCTGTGGCAGATGACCACGGATGAATATGAGGAGCGAGAGGCTCCTGCCAGAGCGGCTTAGAGGTGCAAGAGGGAAACGAGGGGGGCGGGGGAGGGGGTAGAGAGGCAATAGCAGGGGTACTCTGGTTGGACAGGGGGAGAGGGAGGGAGGCTGGTGGGGGACTGGTGTGGGTGTTGCTGGACGGTTGGTTTTTCTCAGAGCTCAAGGACTAGTGTGTACACACACACGACATGCCTGCAAGGCTGGCTCGGCCTTCACTGCAGTACTTGTTCGGTTTTGCTAGTTTGTTTGCATGCGGCTGTCTTGTTTGTTCGTTAGCTCTTGGTACCTGCGTGCCTACATGCTTAGACAGACTAGCTATACACTACCCCTGCCATCTCTGTACCCCATGACCACTATTAATGCATGACTGCTTGAAAGAGAGAGAGAGAGAGAGAGAGAGAGAGAGAGAGAGAGAGAGAGAGAGAGAGAGAGAGAGAGAGAGAGAGAGAGAGAAGCGGGTAGAGGTCCCGGGGGCGATCTTGGGGCAGCTGTGGCAAGAAACTCTCCTGAGCCAACTGCCACTGGAGCCGAGTGAGGCCTTGAGAGCCGCACGAGACCATATGCTGCTACCCAGCGATTCCAGCACGCCCCTACACCAGTGGCTGACACTCTGCGAAACAGAGCTGCCGGAGGAGGCAAGGGAGATCCTAGATAAAGAGAGACTAGAGCCAGCTGGTCTGAGGCTACAGCATGAGCTAGGGGTGAGGGTGCAGGGGAGAAGGTATGCCACGCAAGTGCAAGCAACACGGCGTATGGATCTGAACCCCCTGTCAGGCCACACACATCGATTCCTCTCTCTGATCGGCTACGGCACAGGGGACTGGTTGACTGCCATCCCAATAGAAGCCACCCACCGTATAGGACCAGAGCACTTCTCCAACAGCGTCCGCTTCAGGCTCGGGCTGCCCTTCTCCACACCTCGGAAGTGTAACTGCTCGAAACATGTGGAGATCAAGGACCCGCGGCTGCCAAACCATCTCTTCCGCTGTGGCACCGGCAAGCATAGGATCAATACCCACAACGAGCTGCGGGATGTGTGCATTAAGATGGCTGAGGACACCGGCTTCATAGTCTACAGAGAGTCGGCAGCTTATTGCCCCATAGAGGAGCAAACCGCGGATTTCACTATGCAGGACAGGAGCTCGGGATTGGTCTATGTGTGTGGTGTCACCATCACGGACCCCATTAGCACCAGGGATCCAGACGCTACCAAGGGGAGGGGATGGGCAGCAAGGGAGCAGGCCGACAAGAAGATTAGCCACTATGCCAACCTGCCTGACACCGTCAGCTTCTTCCCCCTGGCGGTTGAGACATATGGCTGCCCTTGTCCCGAAGTCCCGAAGTTTCTGAAGTTACTGGCGGACACAGTTGCTAGGCATCATTTCAACGCCTTACCAACCTCCTACCATGCAGCTAGGTTCCTCCACCTCTTCAGGCAGCGCTGGTCGGTGGCGCTACAACGGGCATAGTCCGTCGGATACATCATTAAGACCTGCCAGGCGGTCGTAGCAGAGAACCCCTCGGTGGGAGGGGTCCGGTCCGAGCTTCACCTTGGGGATTGTTGTGTTGTGTTGGAACCTCTCATGGAGGTGTAGATAGGCACAATGGGTGTGGCTAGATAGTAGTAAGTCCCTTGTCCTAGGCTCTATATTTGCATGTGTGTACCTCTTTGACATATCAATGCACGGACCATTAGAGAGAGAGAGAGAGAGAGAGAGAGAGAGAGAGAGAGAGAGAGAGAGAGAGAGATGGCATAGCTTAGTCCTTAGCCATTTCTAGGCCCCTCTTCTCTAGGATCTAGTCCTTAGCCATTTCTAGGCCTGTTTCCTTAGTATAAATGCCCTGGATCTAGGCTAGTGAGCTCATTATTCACTGGTGAGTTAGGATCACTCTCCAAATCCGACGGCTCGTTCAAGAGAGAGCGAGAGAGAGCGAGAGAGAGAGAGAGAGATGGCATAGCTTAGTCCTTAGCCATTTCTGGGCCCCTCTTCTCTAGGATCTAGTCCTTAGCCATTTCTAGGCCTGTTTCCTTAGTATAAAGGCCCTGGATCTAGGCTAGTGAGCTCATTATTCACTGGTGAGTTAGGATCACTCTCCAAATCCGGCGGCTCGCGCCAGCCGCCTTCGGCGGCCGCCGCTCGCCAGCGCGGCCTTCGGCCGCGCGTGAGGGGTGGCAAGGGTAGCAGCAACACAAGTCCTATAGCAGCATGTGGTACATCAAGAGCCACTAGCAGGGCAGAACAACAACACCACCCCCAGGCGAGGGAATTCCGCCATGGGGAAGCCCAAGGCAAGGCCCAGCACCATCGGAGCCTCCAAGGGAAAAACAACAGTCACTCGGCGAGGATCCAGCACAGCCTCCCGTCCATCCAACGAAGGACGGAAGCGGCAGCTGACACAAGGCCGAGGGGGCCCTCCTGGGCAGACTCAGCTAGCCTCACCATTGCCCGGGGTCCGGGCCCGAGCGCTGCACCAGGGGTGCCCGGCACGAGGCCGATCAAGGGAAGATAGTGCAGCATCTCTGTCGCTGCAGCCACCGCCGCAGAGCGCTCAGCGGGCAACATCCCGTCAACCTCCAAGCCTTGTCGTGCCAAACACAAGTGGAGCTGGTCCAGTACGTACGACAGCAGCGTCAAACACGTCCCCACGTGCACAACGCGCTGCTCGACGAGGGGAGGCAGCGCGCCTGCAGGAGCGGCAGCAAGAGGAGCAGGCGGGACAGGAGGGTTTGGCGGCGCAGGAGGAGCCGGCGGCTGACGCAGTTGAGGCCGGGGAAGAGGAAACCGATTTACGGGGGGATGTCGCTGCTGCGGGGTCAGGTTTGACGCGGCGGGGGGAGCAGGGTGCTGCGGCAGAGGCGGATCCGACGGGGACGGGGCAGGAGGCGCACTCGCCTGCTGCTGTGCCTGCAGCCGCCTCTGACGACGACTCAACCGCGCCCGCTGCGGGGCCGACGGCGCCACCACCGGACGAGGTTATGGCTGCGGAGGAGGCGCATGTGGAGCATGGGTCGGCTGATTCACCGGCGCCATTGGTGGCGGTGTCCCCGTCACCTCTCGGGGAGGTGGAGATTGCGGCGGTCGTAGCTGAGGCAGCGAGGCAACCAGAACAACCCCCGAACGAACCGTTTGCGCCGACTGCAGCTGAGTCCGCCGGAATGTCTGCTGTTGCCGCGGCCGTAAACATGCGGGAGCGCGGCCAGGCGGCGGATGGAATTGAGGGTCCCGTGATCGGCGCCGCTTCTGGCGCCGCACCGGCAAGGAAGAAGGTGAAGCTGCGCGCCCAGCCAGCGCCGAGGCGGCCCGGAGCAGGGCTAAGACCTGGGGTCCCGGGACCCCTCCTGGGCTGGCTTCGGCAAGGGCAGTCGCCACCAGAGCAAGCGCGTTTGTTGTCATCCGCACCACAGCCTGCAATGGGAACCGGCGGGAGGGGTAACACGGAGGCAGCTGACCGTGCACATTGGGGAACCGAGCAGCCAAGCAGGATGCAGCAACCAACGGAAGGATCACCCACGACCCAGCAAGCAACTCACCGGGAAACACGGAGCTCGACGAGAGGCCGGGGAATTGTGTGGGGCAGGCCGTCGGGGGCAGGACGAGCGACAATGGCAACTCCCTGGGTGCCGGCCGGTCGGGGTTTAAGGCCTGCGCAGGAGAGCGCGAGAGGCGACAGCGCTGGCGTACTCCCCGCGATCCCCCGTGGAGGCAGAGGGGGGAGAGGAGGGACACGCGGGAGGGGAGTTCCACTCCTGGGTGGCGAGGCTGTAATCGTGAGATCAGGCACGTGGCGTGATCGCCACGACCGCCCGGAGCGTGTACCTACGCCTGTGTGTGTGAATGGGGGCAAGGAGGGGTCTGAAAACTCCCAGAACGGGAGTGAGTTTATCCCCTCGCACTCAGAGGCATCGGAGGATTTGGTCTCCCTGGGCGACGATGAGAACCAACATGTGTCGGCGCAGGGGCGAGTGAGGAGGACGGAGCAGGGTGGCATGCCACAACCACCCAACATGCCAGCAGGACAGGCCCCAGCTGTGCCACCACAGCCATCCAAGAAATCGCCAGCTGACCTGGCAAAGGATGAGTCTTTCTGGCACCTGGCCAGCACTTGGGACATCGCACCACTCCAGCGTGCGGATCAACCGTTCCTGGTGAGGCGGTTGCCCCCAAAGATTCTGGAGAGCTACAACCTGTGCCTTCTGGCCCCGCTGTTGCGATTGGCCGAGAAACCAGACTGTGTGGGGGCGTGGACGGTGCTGCAGTTTTTACCCCGCTTGACCCTTCGACCTCTACCAGAGCCGGTGGACGGGAACTGCTGGATCAAGATTGAGACTCGGCTGCACCACTTCAGGATCGGGGATCTTGCCGATCTCTACAGTGAGGCATGCGCGATCCCCGATACTGAAGCCCCGTCACGACACCAGCCAGACGAGGCAGGCCTGTGCACGCGAGCAGAAGGCTTGATAAAGAAGGCCAACATTTCCAAGGCAGTGTCTGCGTAAGTGACCCCGCTGGCGGAACCAACACCTGCTACACTTGCAGCTTTACAGGCGAAACACACTGTCAGGGAAAAACCAATTCCGAGCTAGGTAACCAACCGCACCGGTGTACCTGCCTCGTCATTGAATCTGTCCCCAGGCGATCTCCGCGAAGTGCTAGCGAAGTGCCCGAATGGAGTTGGAGCGGGCCCCTCTGGCACTTGTTTCGAGCACTTGAAGGACCCGGCCCACAGCAGCGAGCGAGTCCTACTGCTCCTCACAAAGGCCATCGGCCAGCTACTTAACAGTTCACAGACAAGGGAGATATGCGACGTGCTCCTCCCGTCACGGCTGATAGCACTCGAGAAGCCAGGGGGGGGCGTTCGACCCATCGCTATAGGCGAGGCCTTGCTTAGAGTCGCGGCGAAGGCGGCGCTACGCAAGTTAGCCCCAGCGATCCGTGAATTCTTCCTCCCGGTCCAGTATGGCGTGTCAGTGCCTGGTGGCACCGAATGCGTCATTCATTCCGTACGGGCCCTGCTCCGAGAACATGACAACTACGTAGCGCTCCAGCTGGACGTAGAAAACGCGTTTAATTCGGTTGAGCGGGAGGCGTTCTTCACGGCGCTAGAAATCTCGGACTTGCACCAGCTGCTGCCGTTCGTAGGGCTGCTGTACGACTCGCCATCGCGCCTTCTAGTTGACCCGGCCCTAGGAGTTGAGCACATCTTGAGCTCCCGCGGCGTGCGTCAGGGCGATCCCCTCGGCCCTCTCCTTTTTGCAGCAGCGATTCAACCGACCCTAACGTGCGTGGCATCTTCTCATCCAGGGGCGGCAGTCATAGCGTACGCTGACGACATCACAGTGGTAGGGCCGCGGGAGGAGGTGTTCAAGGCCTTCGATGCCATCGTCGAAGAGCTGGCAAAGCGCGGGCTACGGTGCAACGTGGCAAAGTCATCGGCATGGGGACCGCGAGAGGGAAACGAGGGGCAGCTGGGACTGCCACAAGGATTACGGATGAGCACCAGGGGGATCAAGGTGCTTGGCAGCCCCATCGGCACGCCGGAGTACTGCACTGCTGAGATCCGCCAGGCGCTCGCCAAAGCATCGGCACCTGTCCCTCTTATAGCGCAGCTGCACCCACAACACGCCCTGCTACTCCTCTCCCGCAGCATCTTCCGCATGATCTCCTACCTGCTTCGCACCACACCAAGCATCACGTTGGACCGGGAGGAGTGGAGAGGGTGGAGCGAGTCCTGGTCAGTTCTCGTTGGCACTCGGGTTCCGCCTCGGGATGGCCCTACCAGTCACGGTCAAGTGTCCCTGCAAACGTGACAACTCGGAAATCAAGGATACTAGTCTGGCGAATCACCTGCTCCGGTGTGGGGAAGGGGGGGACGTGGTGAGGACGCATAACGCCCTGGTCTACACGGCTTTGAGATTGGCGAGGGAGGCGGGTTTCAACACCTTCCATGAGACATCGGTGTTTTCCCCCCCGGTCCACCGCAAGAGGGCAGACCTGGCGTTCCAGGATAGGGAATCAGCGGAGACCTGGGTCACAGTGACCGACCCAGTGCTGCAGAAGCGGGACCCCAGGGTGCGGAAGCCACTGGGGTGGGCTGCCAAGGAAGCTTCCGAGAAGAAGCACCGCCTTTATGACGGCCGCCCTGACTATGTGGGGTGTTTCGGCCTAGCAGCCGAGACCTACGGGGCGCTGGCGACCGATACTGTGCAGTTTCTTAGGCTGCTAGCTGTGGCCACAGCGAGGAAGAAATTCAGGCAGGGGCCGCTCACCACCACCGCCTCTCGCCTCAATGCTCACTACCGCCAACGCTGGTCAGTCATGCTGCAGAGATCCCAGGCGATCTCGTTCCTTAACAAGAGCAACATGGCAGCCGAGGCAGCCTTCCCCCAAGCACCTGCGGACCCCTGGGAGCCGAGCCTAGGGGACCTCTGGCAGGTGCTTGATGATGACCTTGCAGGAGTGTAAGCGCAGCCGGGGGTGAACCAGGGATGTAGGGTTGACCAGGAGGTTGTGAGGACCTATGCAACTCAATTGGTAGCGCCAGGCCTGCCATGGCAGTGGCCACTTGGTGAACTTCCTTAGCATCTCATTGCTGGTCTTGTTTACATGCTGGTTTATCTGCCCTACATGTTGCCTGCCTAGGTTAGCCTATCGGCCAGTGTCATATCCTGCATGCCTGTACCCTTTCACCAACATTAATGCATGACTGCTTGAGAGAGATAGAGAGAGAGAGAGAGAGAGAGAGAGAGAGAGAGAGAGAGAGAGAGAGAGAGAGAGAGACTCTGAGGGTCACGGGCGACGAGCATCCGACTCTGCACGGCAAGGTGATACTGCTCAAGGACCGTCGCAAGGCGCGTCACGAAACACCCGATCAGAGACAGGGAGTCTAGAGGGCTGGAGGGTAGGAGCCGAGGCAAGAACAAGGCTGCCAGAGCCACCATGTGTGTGTAGTGATTGGTGATTGCGTGCCTAGGTAGCCCTGTGCCAGGGAAAGCAGGAATTGGACAAGCAATGCATGCCAGGGTTGCCTATGCTTCTAGGGTTGCGGGATTAGGCCAAACCACTCATGCCTTGTTTTGTACCCTTTGACCATTATCAATACAGGACTGCTTGAGAGAGAGAGAGAGAGAGAGAGAGAGAGAGAGAGAGAGAGAGAGAGAGAGAGAGAGTCCCTCAGTCCCTTAGCCTCTCGGCCTCTCCTAGTATAAAAGGCCTAGTGCCTCGTGTTAGAGCTCATTATTCAGCTGCGGTTTCAGTTCTTCTAACCCAAGCACCGGCGGACCCTATATCCGATCCACCTCAAGAACAGCAAGGAGCCCCGTCTGAGTCCGATGCCACTCCTGCACCACCTCCGTGCTTGCGGAGATCACATCGCATCCAGTCCTTGCATGCAAAGACCGTCGCAAACCACGAACAGGCGTACCAAGCTGTCGAACACCCGCAATGCCACCCCTCGCGGGCGCAGCCAACACGAGCGCCAAGATTTTTGTGAGTTGATCAGCGACATCAAGACACTCGTCTAGAGGGTCGCCATCAAGAGTGTTTCCACGGGAGAGAGCAATGTGGCCATACACTTGGATAGGGTGAATGGCCTGCAGGCTCTCAGAGAGGTGCCATAGTTGCCGTAAGGTCGCCTCCCGGGACCTCTATGTGACGAAGTGGAGGTACCCACAGAAACTGGAGGCGAGCCCCTGGTGCGGCGGTCAGAACAGCAGGAGCAGGAGGAGGAGGGGCAGCAGCCGACGGCGCAGTCGCAGAAGGAGCAGCCGGGGGAGGAGCCACGGGTGCACGAGCGACCTGAAGCAAGTTTCTCTGGCTCGCCTACCCGGCTCTCTCCATGCGCATCGTAGCCGAAACAATCCGCTGCACATCCGCAAGCGTCAACGGCTGCACATACGCCCCGCCACCACCACGGCCGCGACCTCCCCTCCAGCCACCGCGACCGCCATAGTAGGCAAGACAGTTCGACTGAGAATGGTGATGCAGTGGAGCGCTAGCGTTGCGACGACTCGCACTCAAACCCATTGTCGGAGCGGGTTGAGGCGCCGCCTGCGGTAATTGGGCAGGAGCGACCGTCGCCGTCGCCGATGGCGGGTCCCCATTCCAACATCAGGCCGCGCCCGAGGTGCCCGAGCCGCACTTCGTTCAATCACAACCCCAACCCCCGCAACCAATTCGTGCTATTTCTTGCTAGAGGAGCTGGCGAGAAGCGCTGACAAATTCGCAGAAGTTGCAAAATGGGATGTCAATCCGTTTTACTAGAGCAGACAACCACCCCTGTCACGACGATTACCGCCCAACCTCTGCCAGCTATTTTCGCTGGCACTCACCCCTCATACACCTCTCGCGAAACCCGGACTCCATCGCTGGCTGGCGTCTGTTACTATTTCTACTGCGACTCACTATTCGCCAACCCTCGCCGAAACGCCCGCATTGATCATTAGTAAAGATCGGCTGCGCACTTTCCAGTGAAGCGAATGGTTTTAAGGTTTTAAGGCTTTTGTAAAGGTCGTAACCGCATACAGCAACAGTGCAATAAGCATAGCTAAGGCTAAGGTCTAAAAGACCTACACTACACAGTGTTACTTGCTCATTCGAAAATGTTCGGAGGTGTTACCAACCCCGCCGCACTAAAACTGAGTTTTCCTTAGAAGGGGCCCTACTTCTTAAGGCGGATGAAAGCACTCGTTCAGAAGCCATGTTTCTGACAGTGTGGGATGCAGCTGAGGGGATCCTGAGTTGTCGAAAAACAGGAAGCGGAAGGAGATGGCTGCTTTCACTCGGTTGTTCGAGGCCTTTTTCCTGTTATTGGACCAGCGGCTGCGTCGGGCAAAGTAGATTTTTGCAGGCTGACAGAAAAAGTGCAAGGATGCGATGTAGAGTCTCGATTCTGGAGAAGTTAGTTTGTTCGTAACAGGAGGCACAACGGTCGCGCCATAGCGTAACTTCAGCGGCTCCCACTAGAAGGCACCACAGGGCAATCTGACTGGCAGGGTGTTGGTTAAGAACACCACTGCGGCTTTGACCTTTGTTTTGAGATGACGTGACGCAACGTTCTGGAGGGCGAACACCACCGAGGGGGCTTGGCCACAGTCAAAGAACATATGAGGCAAGTTTTCAATGGTGGGAGGGCCGCAACGAGAACATGTGCCCCTATTGGCATTGAAAGGGAATCTCGCACTGGAGGGTAGGGCTCTTGTGAATAGCCGAAAGAGTAAATCTCGGTGACGGGATGGTTGGTCTAGTAGGAAGTGGCTTCGGTAGTTGGGAAGGGCAGGAATGGGGGTCCACAGAGAGGTGTTCCAGCGATCGGGATGATTCAGGGGCTGCGGCTGGTAGAAGGTGTTCTGGATATCTGCTAACGAAGGAGTGCAAGCGAAAAGCTCGTGCCGCACCGCCAGCGCCGGACCTGCAGCGAAAGAGCCGGCAATCCAGCCGTTGTCCACGTGGACCGGTAGGACGTTCTGAAATGACGCGATGCAGCTGCCACGTGCTGGTTGTAGCACCTTCCGTCCCTGCTCGAGTACGAAGATGTCGAAGTGCGCCTTTTGGTCTGGTAGTAGAAGCGTGACGCGTAGAATACGCGTTGGTTGCAGGATCCCGGTAAACTCTAGTGCCCAGTCATTCTCCGCGAGGTAATCTGGTCTGGGAGAGAACGAGCTGAGGGGGCCCCACCATTCTTCATTGATAGCCTTAAAGACCTTCTTGAGAATGCCCACCCCGCCCAGGTATTGCTTGGGGGGGAATCTGCTCTGCATCTCTTTTCTGGTCATTTTCCGGGCCCCACCTCCCTCGTGTATTGGTACATTGCCCAGTCAAACTTGCTCAGTGAGAAGAAACTTTTCGTGCTTGCGCCGGCCGAAAGGAAGCCCCGTTGCTTTACAGATGAACCTGTTAAAAGCCAGGGGTTCGGCCATCAAGCACCAGGGGTTCAGTCTGGGAGGGAGAATGTTGGAGGGGAGTTTGAGGACCGCAGCCAGTTCAGCTCGCACTCTGGACGGGATTAGAGGGGGAAGGAATTTAACAATGGAGGGGTGAGCGAGAAACCAATGAAGTCCGAAGGGTAAAGGGACACATGAGTGGGCTATGTCCTCGTATGGTGAGGCTTGAAAACGCCTTGCCACACGTTGCACAGATAGCGCCTGAAGTTGCGCGGAAGGTTCTATTGCCCCCACACCTCTGTGCTTCTTTTTGTTGTACAGGATGCGCTTGGGCAGAAGACGGCAGGCGAAGCCGTGTTTCTTGTACTTGGAAGCTGAGAGGTAGTTGCCGACAATACGGTCCAGCTGTGGTATTACCTCCTTGGGGGGGGGCTGAAACCGTCCCCCAAATGAATATACGGATGTCATGCGCTCGGACGAGATCAAAGAGCGGCAAGTGGCGTGGAGTGGATGCGGCTGAGTAACTTCTCCCACGTGGTATTGCCTGGATGTGCTTGCTCCACATAGATGCCGAGGATTCTTTCCGCATCATCTGGTGCTCGAATGAGAATGGGGCCAGAGCTGAGGATGGATAAGGAAGGAGCATGGATGGGGAGAAGGGAGCACTTTTCCCAGTTGGGATACTCTCCGGAGACCGACGCGAAAGTATGTAGCGAAGTTATCGCGGTGCCCAGTTCCTTGTCAGAGTTGAGGAAAATAGACACGTCATCGGCATAACAGGCCATTAGCCGACGCTGAGTTTTGTTGAAGGTAAAGCCAGGGAGGGAAACACTTAGGTACCGTTGCATGACTTCAATTACACACACGAAGAGAAGAGGGGCCAAGGGACAGCCCTGGCGGACACCGGTCCTGACGGGGAAAGAGGGGCCGGAGAGATTGTTGACCGCAACACAAGTGGTGGAATTAACATGAAGTCTTTTGACCCACGCCACAAAATCGGAGGGTAGGCCGATGTGGGAGAGACATTGGTACATGAACTCACGATCCCCCATGTCATATGCTTTGGGAATGTCTACCGTGAGGACAATCAACAGTTCCTCCTGAGGTGTCGCCCAATCCATGAGGTCCAGCGTGTCATTAATTGTGTCCCCAATTTTCCTTCCTCGAATGAAAGCCGCTTGCGCAGGATTGATGAGGCGCGGCAAAACGGCTTGTAGGCGGGAGGCCAACAAGTGGGCGAGCACCTTATAGTCGGCATTCATTAACGTGATGGGCCTCAAGTTTTCCACCAGGTCAGATTTCCCTTTCTTGGGAATCAACACGGTACGCCCTGTGCACATAGAGTTAGGGATGTGCCCATGCTCGACCACCCCAACACAGAGGCGAAGAAAGAGAGGAGCGAGTATTTTCTTATGGGCGCGGTATAGATCTCCAGGTATACCATCCGGACCTGGGGTCTTTCCTTTGGCCAGCCGTCCGAGGTCCTGCTCGATTTCTGAGAGAGAGAAGGGACGGTTTAGCCGAGAGGAACACGCTTCAGGGAGTGAGGAAGGGTACACATGAGTCCAGAACCCATCATTCTGAATGGCTGGGTTATCACCGCTGTAGAGCTTGGCAAAGAAGTCAGTGCAATGGAGGGACATGGCGGCTAATTCTGACGTGGTCTCACCGGAAGGAAGAACCAACTGGGGGATCAGAGAGTCTTTGTTCCGATTTTGCAGATTGCTCAACAACGAAGAGACCCCCATCTCCCTTGGGCCTTCCACCTTTAGTTTGGCCTTGAGAGCGATGTCGGCCGCACGAGAGCTATCAAATGCTTCCAAGCTCTTAGAGATGAGCTGCAGCCTAGCGACTGCCGCTTGGTCTGCAGGGAACTTGAGCAGGTGGAGCTGAAGCTCACATATCTCATCCTTCATGACATTCACAGTTCTGTTAACCTGATTTCTCTCCTCTTTGCTGAACCACCTGAGCCTGTGGCAGAGTCTTCTTTTCCAAACATCCCATACGTCAGGGTGGCAACGGCTGGGGAAGGAAGAAGCCAGTGACTCCATTGTCTGCACCACGAAGGGTTTGAGGGAGAGATTCAAGGGGAAACGCCATGGTCTGGGGGCCATGTTGTGGGCTCGGAACCGAAGCGAGAGAGATGGGCACCTGTTGTGATCAGAGATTTTGTGGGACACGTACGGGTAGGAAACTTGTGAGATCTTGTCCTTCCAACTGTCTGAGATGTATATTCTATCCAACCTAGAGGCAGAGACAGCTGCAACTGGGTTGGCGAGCCGAGCAAGAGCGCGAAACGAGAACATCTGTCGGCCGGGGAAGACAGACCGAAAGGAGTCAGAGAGAGAGTGTTCCTGAAGTAAATCACCAAACAACTTTACCTCCGTGCGTTCATAACCATGCAGGAGATGATTTCTGTCCGAAGGGTCTATGACAGTGTTGAATTCTCCAGCCACAATGGTGAGATCACTGGTGGAGGGCAGAGAGAGGAAGTGGGAAATCGTGGAGGACCACCAAGCACGGCACTCTATGTAGTATGACGGGGCGTAGAGAGCCACTATACGGATCTGCTCATGCAGAAAATTGCAGTGAATAATCAGACAACAGCCATCACCTGAGAGGGCACGTTCAGAGATGGATAATCTATGATTAAAGAGCAGGATGGCAATGCCCCCGGGATAAGTTTGTGAAGGAGAAACACGGGGGGGTGCTTGTGCATACGCCGTGGGCCTTAGTTTGAAAAGAAGTTCCTTGAAATTGGTGGATAGCCTTGTGTCAGTGAGGATCAGAACGTCAGTACGGTTCCTGCCAAGCCAGAGTTTAAGCTTGTCCAGCTTGTCTGAATTGTAAAGCCCGTTAACGTTCAAACAGTTGATGGTGAGGTTCAAATCCATTGATAACCTGTGATAAGAGCCCCTTGTGCTTGAACCAGCACAAATCCACAGGGGTTGGAGCTCGTGCTCCATATGCCGTTCAGACGTCGTAGTTTATGGAAAGCATATGTGGGGTGCTCTGCAACACATGAGAAGCCACCAGAGGGGTTACCACCAACTGAATTCACTGAACTGAAAATAGAGTACAACATACGCCCAGCAGCACACAAGACAACAGGTAGCCAAAGCATGGTCACACAGCCATGGTTCTGGCAGGCTGCGCCTACGCAAGGAAGCTCGTAATGGCATCGTTCCTGTTGAGATCCATGATCTTCATGTCCCCAAACTCCTCGATGGGGGAAGGAGTGACTGGGCCGTTGGAGATGGCAATCGCGTGAGACGGACTGGCCAGATGCTCCATAGCACTGTCCAGAGCCCAACCGCATTGGAAAGAGCAAAGTGCACAGGTCCACACTTCGACTTCGATATCTGTGCCGATGAAGAGAAGGCCTGGGTCGGCCTTGAAGGCCGCCACAGCAGGGTGCTGACCAATCACCTTGGCTGAGAGGGGGAACAAGGGCTCGCAGGGCAAGAGGGAGCGCATTATGAGTAAGTGCTTCCGGCGGCCACCCAGAAAACCGGGGGTTGACCGCCGAGGAGAAACGAAGATGGACCGTCGTAAGAGAAGACCGTGTAGGGCTGCAGCACGAAGAAACGCCATCGTACATATGAACACTAACAACGGCATTAAGCGGGGGTGCAATAGGATAGTTAGCAAAAGGAGCACTAGAACGAGTCTTAACGGAAAGATCACAAGCACAGTCTCGCCGCGGGCCTTGGCCATGGTGAAGTCAGGGGCGGGGTCCTCAAACACCTTAATCTCCGCCGAGGGGCCCTCCGCAGCACGGTAGATCGTTCCGGGTAGCAGCCTGCGGAAGCGAGCAGCGTCATCGCGCGTAGGCCACTGGAAGATATGTCGGCAGTAAGTGCGGCGCGGCAGCCTCAGGTTCTCTCCAGCTGAGGCTTCAAAAGCAGGGACTCTGCCACCAGCAAAATCTCGACCACGCAAGATGCTGCGCACACGGGTAATGATTCGTCTGCGATGAGCCTCGAGGGCTTCAGGGAATAAGATGACAACAATGGACTGCGTGTCGCGTGTGAGATTCTCAACGATCACTCCAACGATTTCGCGGTTTCGGCGGAGACGGATGAACCGGCCCGTAATTGCAAGAGAGGGCGTCTGGGCTACTTCCTGAACTGAGGTGGAAGTAGCCGGCACGGTAGCGGACGGGCCAGCCACAGGAGCCGCCACAGGCGCCACCGTGGGAGCGGACGACGGACCCGCATGGACCGTCGGGGGGGCCACCGGTGCAGAGCTTGAAGAGGCAGCAACACACACCCTTTTGGCGGGAGGCGGAGCAGAGACCGCGGGGGTCGTGGTTTCCTCCGCAAAGAAAGATTCGACCGAGAAGGAGGGGTCAAGCTTGCCCTCCGCCATGAACTCGTTAGGGTTATGCTGTGAGGCCATTACGCCAGGTGGTGATGAATACCGTAGCACCAGGATGATTTTATAGACATTATGAACCGGGGAGACGGAGGGCCAGGGAACGAGTCTTGGCCCGAGTCGCCACCAAAGGTGTGGGATGATAGAAATCAAGATCCAATGGTAGTGGCTTTGGCAATGGCCGTGGCACATGTAAGAACTTGGGAACTCATGAAGGACATTCGGAGTCGCCTTCACTGCATGTAAGAAAGCTGGAGGGTTAACACCATTGGAATTGTCGTCTGGGCTCAAAGTGAGGCAGCGCCAGAGAGGTTTGACGTAAGAACCCGCCGCAGCAGCGGATGGAGTGCCAGCAACACATAGCAGAGGCCCATGCAATAGAAACAGACTTGTGAATGACGTGCCAGGTCGACAAGACGGCCGTAGCCACAACAGCACCATAACACCGCCAAGTTCCCAAAAACCGGAGGAAACTCCAGTGATCTTGGAGCCAGCTTGAAGAACAGAACCACCATCCCCCAAACCTGCGATAAGACCACGAAAACCAACCAACCACACTGCAACACTTCAACAAAACAACCCAAAAATTCCTTACCTGAAGTAGACCAACCATTGGTTGAACAGAACCGAAGGACGATGGTCTCGGTATTGAGGTTGGCTCGCCGCGAAAGGTAGACGGAGAAGAATTCGGTTGTCAGGAGTGCAAGGAGGAGGCTGAGGAAACCCATCTCTATTTTGTTTGGGGAGTGAATGAGAGGTCGGTCACGATGGCGGGTGTTGCAAAAGCAACCATGGAGTGCAAGCAAACTGAGCCAGAGCAAGAAAGGGAGTGAAGCGAATGGGATCAATTGTATCGCAACGCAGTCGAGGCGGTCAACACACCCCCAGCGCCACGTCACCAGCTAGACGACACGGGGGTAATCCACAGAGCAAAAAGCAATGCGCGAAAGCCTGCGACGCGCTGTACTGCCCTCGAGTCAACGCCGGTGTACACGCCGAGTCCAGAAATTCTGGACGAGTTTCAGCGCAAGCACCTACCTGCTGGTAATGAGCCGCTGACATGGCCTGCATACACCCCGTCACCAGACTTTACGATCTCTCGCACAGACTTCGTCAAACTGTTAAGTGGCTGCGAAAATGGGGTGGGTGCGGGGCCGCCAGGGATGACATTTGAGCATCTCCGAAACGCGCCAATCACCAACGCATCGGTCTGCACCCAACTGCACGCCTTGGTCAACACACTCCTCGGGGGGGAATTATCCCAGCCTGTGGCAGACATGCTGGCAGCTTCCTGCCTTGTAGCGTTGGTGAAGCCGGAAGGAGGGTGCCGACCAATAGCAATTGGAGAATGCGTGACACGATTGGCTGCAAAGGTAGCCCTGACAATCGTGGGCGAATCGGCGCAGGAGTAACTTTTACCAATCCAGTATGGGATTGCAGTAACAGGAGGGGCCGAGGCAATCATTCACACTGCACGCACCTACACCAACTACCACCTACACCGAATACCACATGCAAACTGACATTTCAAACGCTTTCAACTCCATTTCGTGTTAGGCAATTGTCACAACACTACAGGACACAACTCTCTCCCCGCTCTTGCCCCTGGTACAACCGACCTATGGGAGCTCGTCCCAGATCCACCTCGACACTGGCTTTGTCAGTGCCCCGCTCAGAAGCGAGCGAGGCTTACGCCAAGTTGACCCCTTGGGGCCACTGCTTTTTGCGGCCGGAATCCACCCAGCTCTACGTGCAACAGCCGCTTCGTACTCGGATGTGCTTTGCCTAGCATATGCAGACGACTCTACAAAATTTCAAACGGAAAAGGAATGCAAAAACATTTCGGGAGGTGTGTTTGATGTTTTCCCCTGCCGTGAATGCTCATGGTCTATCATGTGGAATCCACAGCCACCCAAGATTCCATGTACATTGTCTGGGAGGATTCTCCCAGGTTTGCGGGCCAGGTTCGGACATCACTGCTTGTGATGTGCTCATGGATTGGGTCCACGTCACCCCCTCTAACGCGTGGGGCACGTGAGCTGACAAAAACCTGCATAAGGATGTCCCGCTTATGTTTCAAGAATGTATTTCTGTGTACTCCGAAGAATTTGGTTACACTTTGTCAAAAAAAGGCTCGCTTTCCTCACACTCTCTACATACACTGATCCACATTATCAGAACACCCCGACGCATAACTACACATACAGTGATATAACAATTTAGAAACACGACCATATAATCTTGGACTCGGTATTGAGTATTCGATAGTAGCTCATCTGCGCGTTGCACAGTACACCGAAGTAGTGCAAAACCTTACGGGCTAACGCGACGCGTTAATGTCATATGCTATTAAAGCCTGGTTTCAAAATGTCACACTGGTTACTCTAATACTACACTATAAGATGTGTATAGCGTCTACAAAACATATTATGGATTGCAATAATATTCCACGCCACTGAACACTGTCTGTTATTGCGTATGAAAAAAGTACATAATATTATTCGCAACAATGCTGTGATTCACCAAAATTTAGGTGCTTCTAATGTCAGTTCATTCTGCTTATGGTTTAGGGTGAACAGCCATGTCACTACAGCGAACTCATACAAACGCTCACTATCGCGAACATACACCACGTGAAACAAAACAGAAAGAAATTAGACCCCATTCCCCTCTCGTCAGCAGAAACAGAAGCTGGACATTTGCCCAGGCCATTTTGTGCCACTCCCACGCACATCAATGTGGCCTGGCAGTGCAAGCATTCACATCACACGCCTGGTAATGGCACATCTTTAGGCATCGCCGTCGTCGTCGCCCGGGTGACCAGCAGGGACATTCGGGGAAGCGTAGGCGAAAGATCCTCGAACCCATCCTAAAAAATCAAAACCGTGCTGCCGCGGCAGAAACACCACGCGCGATGGGCAGCGTCCCACCAGGGTCCGATGGCGGCTCTGCTGTTGCGAATCGCCTCGCGGACCCAGGAGTTCACACGATCTAGGTACCAGCGCACGCCTTCGGCGTTCTAGGGTGCAGAGCGCGGCATCTGGGTCTCGTTGATGAGCGGATACTCGACCCGCATGGGTGGAAACACAACAGTGAAGGTAAACTCAATGTGGTGTCCCTTAGACTCGTCAAAAGTTTACAGCGTGGGAAAACAGACCTCATAAAGCCAGAACGCTACCGCATACGTGCGGAGCATGAGAGGCGGAGGAAAAGGGCGTTGAAACGACGCGTAGATGCCCCGCTCGAAAATGTCGGTGGCGAACGGCAGTCCGTTTGCCCGGTGCCACACATGAATCTCGTGCGATAATGCATCTGCGCGCGGCAATGTAGCCACGTTAGTAAGCCCGAATGGGGTATATAACATGTAACAAGCACTCCTGGCGAACATACCAGGTTCATTGGTCACCAGGAACTGCTCGCGCGTCTGAGAGGCAACCCCGCGGCCCTGTGGCACCGTCACCCGTGAAAACGTGGGCGGGTCATACGGCAGGCCGTGAAGGACGTACACGTTTGCCCTGCCCTGCTCCCAGCGAGTGTTTCGGAAGAGTTGCATCTTCCAGACAAACCATCCGAAGCAAGCACTGTCGTTGGCCCACACCAGATGCAGCATGTGCTTCTGCACCCTCGTGCTAAAGCGTAACGCGCGGCAAATTGCCGCCTCAGTCAGTGCGGGGGAGGGCCAGAATGTCATGAGCCGAAGACGGGTGTTGTACACCAGAATCACAATAGTGTCCTCGATGACCTCCTGCGCATAGAGGGTATGACATCAAACAACATCCATACATGCAACAAAGACGAAGCAAGTTGATATTCACTAACCTTAATCCCGTTGTCGAGGGCCGGGATGACAAGATTCGCCTTCTCAAGACGCTTAGCCCAGAGCAGGAGCGCGGGCGTAGGTGCTTTGTGGCGACCGTGATTGGACGTCTCACGGGCCAACACGGGGCGACGAACGGCGTACGGGGAACGGCGGGTCCGTCTTCGCCTGCCGGCTGTGCCACTGCTGGCGCCGCGTCACTGCGCTGGGCTGCCCTCCGAGTAATCGGTGCAGGACCCGCCGCGGCATCAGCAACGGGCTGCGCGTGAGAGACCGTGCGACGACCTTCGGCGTTTCGAAGGTGGATATTAAGGTCGACAATCTCCTGCTCACGTGCTCGCAGACAAGCCGCGAGCGCCGCGTCAACCGGAGGCGCCGGAGCCTGCGGTGCGCGCGTAGCATTGGCGGGCCCAGTACGAGTGACACTGGGGCCGCGGCCTCCAGGCGTGGTGATGGCAGGTGCTGCCATTGCCGTCTGGGTGACATCACCGACGAGTTGCTGGCGGGATCGTGCAGCTGCAAAGGGCCGCGACAGGTGAAATATTGTTGTAGAGAACACGGCAGGTGACAATGATGAAAGTACAAACATAACTGTTACGACACGAGCTGCATCACATACCTTCGTAGTCCTCGTCGACCGGCTCATTGGATGGATCATCGCCAGATGGCGCCTCCATATCACCTCCTTCAACACCTTCTTCCTCTGCGAAAGCGTTCTCATCATCCGCAGGTTGCGGGCCCTCCTCCTCAACGGAGTCATCAACGGCATTGTTGACACCGGCCGCGGGTGTGTCATAGTAGACCATGTCAGCGTTTCTTACGCGGCGATCTGCGTTAGGCCTACGAGGGCGTGCGTAAGGGGAACGAGCGGGTTCCATGGCTTGAACAATGCTGGACAGTCCAAATCACCCCCCATTTAAGCGCAGTCACGGGCCTCACGAGAGACGCACGAGATAGATGCAAGGCAGAAATGAAAGAGATGTAAAGGAGAGACGCGTTTCTCTTACAGGTGAGGCAACGTGATCTTGTGGGACAGCGGGTGTGGCGACAGCTCTGGTTGGTAAGTGTGAGGATCAAGGATCAATTTCAAAAGTTGTGAATGAGAATTGATTGATCCACCTGTGTACAACACGAGGCTATATATAGTCTCGCCACAAGGCAGGTAACCCAGGTGTTATGCGAATATTCTGGGGGTCGCAAAGCGTCC